GGGTAGGGGTGCGCGCTGCTGGCCGGGCCGAACACCACCGAACGGAGAGCCGACTGCCCCGACTCGGGCGGGAGCGGGACGGGGGACACGGCGAACCGGCAGCGTAGTCGCGAGGCTCGGCGCTCGGCTCGGCTCGGCCAGCGCGGCCCCAACCTGTTCTCCCCACCCTTCACCTCCCACTTCCAGGACTACCGCCCCGCCCGCTCTCCTCCTCCCCCGCACCTCTCCCCGCCACCGCGGGTCCTCCGACCCCACCTCTGCGCCTCCACACTGCGATTCGATTACCCCTCCCTGCCTCCTCCTGCTCCTTTCCTCTCCTCTCTTTCTCTCTCTCTCCCCTCCAGTCACTCCAGTAGCATTCGCTCTGTCTCCCTCCCGTTCTCCTGCAACCTCTTCTCTGCCCCTCCCTTCACTGGGCCCCTTCCCATTTCTGCCTCCACCCCCTAACAACGGCCGCAAGTCAAAATGATCGGCTGCAGAGATTACTGACAGATGCTCCCTCACCCCGAGAGCTGGTATAACAAGTCTACTGGAGTAGGTGGCGTAGCTTGTCACAGCAGCTGTTCAAGGTGCTAAGACTATGAGCTTCACAAGTGCACATCCCTGCCGGTAGTTATTCCCCCACACTGGAGTATCAATGGGTTGTGTCTTCAAAACCATAGAAGTGACGTAAAAATGAAGGGTGCTGTGTTGAAGAACGTGGGGAGGGTGTCAGAGCCCTGGAATGAGCGAGCCTGGACGCTCATGCGACGCCGCGCCACCTCCCGGCATAGGCTCAGAGCAGCTCAGCTCGTTTCCTAGTGAGCCGAACTGCGCTCAGCTCACTAGCCGGTGACTGAGCGGGCGACGCTCAGTCGGGGCGACAGAGACAGACGTATCTAGCAGCGGCGAGTGCGAGAGAGACGCGAGCGCCCGGCTGGCTCTCGGCGCCGCCTCGTGCGGCCGGTAGACCGTCGATACTCCCAGCTCGAGAGACTTTACAGAACCTCTACCTACCCTACCTCACACCACGTTTTGGAAACGAGCGTCCGGGCTCGCTCATTCCAGGGCTCTGGAGGGTGTTGCTTGTAGACACACGCCAACACCACCAGAGGTCTTCAGAACTAAGTTGTCAAAATGAAGGAATGGAAAGGATAAAAATAAGTCAAAATCAGAATTCAAATTTTGATTTATGAAAACTATCTCAGAGGAGCACAAATAAAATCTAAATCCATATTGTACCTGATGACTCAATCTTAACACGAAATGATTCAAAAACTGTTAAACAGAAAGACTAGGACTTCCCCATCTTTATCAGTAATGAAAACTGAAGTAAACCATAGCTTGAAATTGACATTCCAGACACAATTGATAACATAGCTGCCAAAGTTCTAGCCTTAAAATAATTCTACTTAGTCTCTAATTACTGCAACTACATCAACCTTCCAGGCCAGCAATATGACATTCAAGCTTCACCTGTGTAGGCTTCCGGGCATGACTAAGTACATACAAAACAATATCAGTTTCTGCAATTTAAGGAACTGCATCTGATTCTCAATTATGACATTCAAGTATAGTATAATCAAACTGAAGGCACATGTTGGCATGAAGAAATATTTTAGATAGATATTTTCTCTACCACCCAAGTTTGATGGTCTGTCATTAGCAAACCCTCATTAGTGATGTATGATGATTATGTATGAGACTAGAACAACACTATGCAATTTGAAAAAAACCTATCCCAAGTTCTAAGTTTGTGAGGAATCAACATTGAACCAGCCAAAATAACTTGGTTGGTGTGGTTTGATACAATATTTCAAGCATGATACGCCAGTATATATATTCATAAACTGAAAAATCAAAAGAGAATTAATGTTTAAAAGCCCTTGCTTAAACTACTGTAAAAGAAAAAATAGAAAAAAAACATCACTATACCATGGCTCCTCAACTACTTTTAAATGAAAATAAAATAAATCACACCAGGCACGATAGTAAAATAAAGTTATGACTCCAAAAAAAAAAATGAATCAACACTCAAACAAGATGTTTTTATCTCCGAATAAGAATAAAGGAATATGCCTGTTTCATAAACAAGGACATGTCACCAAACAATTTCAGATGGGCACAGACCAAAATCTGCACAGTACATACTTCTTGGAAGCATTAACCAAACTTTTCATGCCATATTTTTCTAAATTTTCCAATGTTCAAATTTAAATAAATCACATCAATAGAAGGTAAACAATTAAAAATAAAAGGCAAGTTACAATCCATATTGATGACAAAGGCACTAACTAAATGCAAGTATAGCAGAACCACAGCCAATCACGACACTGCTTGCCTTTCCAGTGGCTTATAGTAAATGTGGCACGCAATATTAGTGTTCTAATGGCAAGCAGGTGTTACATTATGGGACATCACAACTATCCTTAAAAATGTAAGAACTCCATGATAACCCTAACAGTATGACACAACAAAGTTTTTGTTCTATTCATCAAAAAATATGGTATATGTATAAAACATATTTAATGTACATAGCACATTTCATAAAATATAATTGTCATAAAAATAATGCATAATGCATAAGTTGTCATCGATTTTCAAGGAACTGTCATAGTTAACACTGTACAAGAGGACCCATCATACAATTATATAACATAACAGAACATCTTACATATCCTTGAAAAGGGCAGATAAAAATGTTCCCTACATCTAGTTTTCCCTCACTAAACCGCTTGCAAAAATTAACCACTGGCTATTATCCATTAAGTATTCTATTGATTAAAGTTGCAATATGAAAAACAATTACAATCTCTGTACAGGAATACAGACAAAATGTACAAAATTTTACAACATACATCAACATCACATTTTATAGTGTACATAGTAAGTATCATGAAAGAGCTATCAGCCCTTATAAACAAATTTTAACAAACAAAGACATGTTTCCTTGCTTCTAAATACAAATAATGCTTTTTACACTTCTTACGTGTATGTGTTATGGCGAATGCCCGGTAGCCGGCGAACGACGTAAATTCGACAGCGATTCTCAGGCGATTCAGACTTTGGCCGGAGAATTTCGAGATTCTCAACCGCCGGACATTCGCCGTAACATGTGATCCCTTCTCATAACAAATCACAAAAACAACAAAATATCATCACAGATTGTTTGCAGACATCCGTTTTAATCCAAATCCTCAAGCTGAAATGAGTTGAAGTTATAAGAGAGGACCCTTAAAGAGGGACATATGCACTTTATTTACAGCAAGTGCTGGTGACAGCTAGAAAGCTGCCAAATGTGTATGTCATCTCTTTGAATCAACAGAATAAATCGAGACCGAAGCATCAACAGAGCCTGTAGCCAATCCAGCACGCTGAGGATGAAACGCAAGGCACGAAACAGGTTCAATGCGACCCGCCAGAAATCCTTCATGGTGCTTGATGGTATTTATGTGATGACCCTTTAGGGTGTACATTGACAGCTGGTTTAGGGAGCCGCTGTGAAAGACAAAGTAAAATATTACTTGTTAAAACTGAAAGGGATTAAAAAGAAACAAAAACAATCAGAATCTGTACAGGTAAACATTGCATTCTCACCAAGAGAAAACATTGGCTTGCTTGTGGATGGCCATGGCAGTCATTTCTTGCGAAGTATGAATTACAGATGGTGAAGAATTCTGCCTCAGATCAAAGAAACGAACATCTCCCATGACACTGAAAAAAAAAAAGGAAATTGTTTGAGAAAGTGTTGATGCTTAGCTTTAAATTTCAATTCAAGTATTGAATATACCTTCCACTGATAATTGTGTTATTTCTAAGAGCACAATTAACTACCCAAGCATTGTGTTCCCGCCATGTAAGCACACGTGCATCACTTTGGCTCAATCTTCGATCAAATACACGAATAGAACCGTCTCCACATCCTGCCACTATAAGTTGGCCATCTGTGGGAAAAAGTATTTTATTAAGAAGAGAAAAGTAAGGTGAGGGGGGGGGGGGGAACTAATACAACTAACTCAAGCCTTGGAAACTAACCAGATGATAGACTTGTCACACAGCTGTCACATTCAGTTGGTATATCTCTAACTCGTAATTCTTGATTGGCATCCCAGAGTCTTACAACACGGACATCTCCAGAAACAACCATGTTAAGTGTTTGTTGTTCCCAGCTTACAACTAAGCCAGAAGAAGCTGGAATAAGAAAAGAAAGACAGATATAAATTATTACAGATCAATGATTTCTGCTGGAGTTCCGCAAAAGGGTCATACCCATACTATGTGACTGGTGACTGAAAAGAAAAATGGGGGGAGGAGGGGGAAGAGGAGGTGGAGAAGAGAGGGGAAGGGGGTGAAAACGCCAATTAATGGTCACATAATATAAATATGAACCCTTACTACTTCACAGTCTTGCAAGGAGATGATCATTGGGAAACAATACAACAATCTAACAAACAGGACTGCATTGGTTTTGGGGGGTAACAGCATAATTTTAGATGCCCTTGAACCAATTTACTGATTCACTACATGTACAAATGTTATTAAGAACAAGGATCTACCATGCCTACACTGTACTTACATCTCCCTCCATGTTCCGACACTCCTTCAAGCAGCAAAAGAAAAAGAACTACATTAGATTGACAAAGCTTTAAGTTCTCTGTTAAATAAAGTAGATCATGTGTCTAACTGATCAAAGTATAAATTCTGATTCACTCCAAATTAATTTACAGTACATGAGTAAGGCATAATCAGTCTAAATGGTAAGCTTGGGGTAAGTTTTTCTCCCTCACTTCCCTGACAATTGATTCTTGAGTTAATAATACTACACCCACCGTTCAGTGCTCTTGCTGTTGGTTGTGCTTCAGCTAAGGCTTGCCAGGCAGAAACAAGACTGAGTCCACCTGTTGATGATGCAACGCCATGCAATGCAGACTGATGGTTCCAAAGGCGAATAGATCCATCATCAGCACCAACTAGCAAAAGCGACACATCATGTGGATTTATGAGGTCCAATGCAGTAATTTTTACTGGAGTTTTTGTCCCTTTGATACTAGTATTTGGTAAGAATGCCAGTCTTGTATTTGTGTAATAATCCCATAGTCTGAAACAAATTAAGATAGAAAAAGCATGAGAAAAATGTACACTGCAGTCGTCAGATTCATTACTGTTAATTACTGTTGATTTTCTTCCTTACTTACCCAACTGAATCTTTACCAGCAATGACAATAATGGGTTCATATGGTTGAAATAACAACACATTGGGAACATTATTAAATCGTAAACTGAACACCTTTTCTTCTATTCGTGGCAATGGTAGTTTTCTCTGCTCTTCTTTTGCCTCGGCCCTCATATTGGCATTCCTAAGATACCTAATTAGGGAGGAAAAACTTGTTTCATTTCAAGTACTATATTTGGAAGAAACCTTTATCTCAGTCTTATCATGGATTTTGCATACCTCCATTCTCTTTCATAAAATTTGTCACTTTCAGCATCAGTATCTTCTATCAATCTCATAATAGGTTGAGCAAAGTATTTACAACTCCACTCAACAAAGTTGGTGTTGATATGTAATTTCCTTGTCCAACTGCATTCATCTGATTCTTCAGAGATCTGAGGGAAATTGAAGGGGACATTAAGTAAACATTAAAAGTCAAAACAGAAAAGACATCAAGAAAATTTGAACTAATTCAGCATACAGTGTTAGGTACAGTCTTCCTGGGACGTCCAAAAGAATAGGTTGGCCTAGAGGCAATGCGGTGCAGATCGGTTGTTGATCCGCTTGTCGGAGGAGACTCTCCACTAAAAAGATAAAAGAACACACAGGTAGTTGATAAAGACTTGTACAGAGTACCAAGCATGCATCCTGCACAGACCAATTCAAAATATAAGAAATATTCTTGCATTCAGAAACTCACGTCAAAAATGTTGGCCGACTAGATGGTGAAGGAGGAAGAGACACAGATGATGATATCCTGGTCTCACCCACCTCTTTATGACGAACACTATTAACTTGTTCTCTAACATACTCTATAACAAGCTTTGCCATTTGATTAGCACCAGGATAAGGATCTTGTTCCAAAGCTGTGAGGCCAGCCCACAGTTTCTGGTAGATGCTGCCAAATGCTGCACTAGGTAAATTGGCCATACTCCCCGGTCCTGTAAAATACAAAAAGATACAAAATAAACTATGTTTCTTAGATTATTAACAAGATTTAAAGTCCTTGTACAAGGCCCGGGTAGAGTACACATTCTTTTCTGGCAAAACTGCTGTAGACAGACCAGGGAGGAAGACAAATGAGAAGTTGAATAAGTTAGCAAAATCCTCCTCCTTCTCTAACTGATTACAAACAAAAAAAAACATATCTACTTGCCTAGCATGTACTGGAGCAAAGTCAAAGATATATTGCAGCCTAAACCGCCTATATACAAAACAAAACAAAAAGGGAAAATAAAGAAAAGAGAAAGTTAAGCAAGGGTTGCAACAAAAGGCCAAGAGTGTTTTAAGTAAGTATTGTAAGTTAAAAATAAAAAACATAACTACATAACATACTGATGCAACTCACATCCACAGAACAATTAAAGGAAACATGTGTGCACTATCAAAAGAAATGCAGTAGTTACATAGAATAGACTCAGACTGTCCACCAAGAGCAGTCCAAATGACAGTTAAGGTACTAGACATTAAATACATGCTTATCACAAAAGTTTTTTATGATGTCCTCACCCATGCTGTAAAGGGAGCTTGAACTGGAAACTCTTTTGATACGCTCATTGTTGCCTTCTCCCGAACCACCATCTAGCAGGACTGGAGTAGGTGATAACATCTTAAGGCGATCTCTAGAAGGTATTCTTTTTAGACCAGCCGCAGGAGACAACAGCACATCTGTCACACAAGTTATAATCCACAACAAAAATCAGCTTAAACTGTTTTAGAATTTTGGAGATTAAGCATAATGCAGTAAGTAGCCCTCAAAACATGGTCAGGGCAATTGGCAATGTTAGATCAAAATTGTTGAGCAAACCCATGCATTAAAAAAAAAAAAAGGGGGAGAGAGAGAGAAGTGTGGTTAAAATAACTTACCAGTTGCAACAGATACAAGCATCATTGCTGAACCATCCTTTACTTGGCCACTTTCTTGCAGAGCTACAGATATGAAAGATTTCTCAAACAGATTAACCATGGCTTGCAGTGCAATTATCAGCTCCTAAAAATTGAACAGAGGCAAAATGAATATTATTTCAGTATAACTTATTTATAAGGTATCTAGTGAAATTACATAAGACAAAGTAAAGCAGTTAAACATATCTGGACAAGCTTAAGGAAACAGATGGTAAAAAGAATTGTTGAGAAATTTAATGCAATCTTTACCTTTCTGACAAGAGGGCTCATATCATACATAGTAGTGTTTAATAACTTCATTGCCACACTATGATCAATTGTATTTGCATGCTCACTTCGCTCAACCACAGAGCTAATAAAAGTTCCCAAGGCATAAACTGCTGCAGTTCGAACTTCAGGAACAGGGTCAGATAAGAGATTGTATAGTTTCTCATGTGCTATATCTCTAACACCACACCACCGTGCAGGTGCATAGTTAGTCCACAAACGACCCAGGCATATAGCAAGCCACTGACGTAATAAAGGTGATGGGTCAGACAGTTGCACAAGACAGATGGAGACTAAACTTCCTTGGAGAGCCACCTCCTGGCCCTGAGGGTAATTATTCACTACACTTGCTAAAACAAATGCTGCAAGTGTCCTATGTTCACTCTAAACACACAAATAAAAAAAAATTATAATAAAACTATTGAAAATTAACTAAAAATTGATACAGGGTAATCAATACATATTTGGTATGTGACAATTTACCGGCATAGAGAGGTCCTGAAGAACTGAGAGGAAATATTTGTGTCCATTATCACGAACAAGGTCAGCTTGACATGTCTAAAAGTAGAAAAAATCAATAATTATCATGACATAATGATACAACAATTTAAGAAAGGAAAAAGTTAAAAATCAAATTTGAGAAAGTTACAAGAACCTACACTATCAACTGCCAAAATTTTGGCCCAAATAAAGACTAGCAAAGGGCGGAGCTCACGAGCAGATGATTGCAGCAATTTTAGGACATATGGAAATATACCGACTGAAAGAGCTAGATTTACTGCCCAAGGCCCAAGATCAAGGAATCTACCCAGCAATTCCAATGCTCTTAACCGATGCACTTGAGAAAGTAATACCTGCAATTGAAGATGCCATTAGAGCTATCCAAAAGTTGTGTTCCAGTGAATTAATATGACAATAAAAAATAAACTTATACCTGGAGTACTACAGGTAGTTGTTCAGGTGGTGCACGTATTTCAGAGCCAAGGTGAAGCCAGACTTGAAATGCTGTTAGCTGCTCTTGGAAAAAGGCTGAATGTTGAAATGGACGATCCTGCTCTAGAACACCTGGGAGCTGAGCTAGGCATAAATCTAATGCTAAGTCCCACGCATGCCACATTGGATGTTGATGGGTATGAGGAAGTCTTGGTGAAGACACTGGTGTACAGTCATAAGAACGCAATATGCGTTCAGCAAGAAGGAAATTTCTAAATAGAGATGCTACTAATAAGTCCTGTCGAAAAAGCTTCTGAAACAAATCTGAAAAAGAAAAACAGGATTACATCCCTTGTACAAGCTAAAAACACACAACAAGGGATACTTGATAACCACCTCTAGGTAAAGTGTTCCAAGCTATAGTGTCCGTAATGGCCGTAAAAATCCAATTCAATTCTCCTAACATTGTCCTTCGATCATTCAGTTGGCCGGGGATCCTGAAAGTGAACAAATTAAAATAGGTAATGTCTTCTCAACAGCAGCCCACATTAGGATTCATAGAAAACATTGGATGACACGTACTTATCAATTAGATCTAGGTTGACTTTTGGGACCAGCCTAGCTGAGTTCTGCAACACAAACCTGAAAAGAAAATTAAAAATTAGGAGGAACAATTAATTTTTATTGAATTTTCCAAAAATGAAACTTTAATTCGAGCTATGTATTTATGTACCATCTTATGGCAATTTTCATAGGAGTTGTCAGACAAGAAGTAAAGATGTCTGCTGGAAGATCAGGATTCATAGGGAGAATTTGGGATGCAGAACATGCTGCCAACTGAATACAGTTCTTGAAGCAAGGTGCAGACCCTGAACCTCTTGTTCCGCTAACCTAGATACAGAAAATATTGTTTTTGAAGATTTAATATCACAAGAGACAAGTTAAGTTAGAGCACAATGAGGACAGAAAATGAGATTGACTACTAACTTCGTATTCCCTTTCATGCTGTTCAGCAAAGCCTTTGAAAGAGTCAACAATGATACCTGCATTTGAGCAATCATAGACATATATACTAGGGGCGCCCATCCAGGTTTGAAGATCGTATACTGATAGAGGAATGTACTGAGTGTAGGACTGAAACAATTTGGAAAGGATTAAAAACTTTAATTCTAGGCGCTGTAATTTCTTTAAAACATAATGTCTTAAGTCATGTATTTTTTTTGATATTTCACAACTTTAATATTGATTTCAGTAGCTTACTTTATTAAAAACCCAAATCTCTCCGTTAGCTGTGGGTTTGGGAACACCATGTCCATTATAATGGAACAAGACCCGTTCTTCCTTTGCATTTCTTCTAAGAGAGGTGCATAATTTTTTCACCTCCTCTGCTGTAGGGTCTAAACTTTGTTTGTATCTGGCACGTGGCTGCCATCTCTCATACTGTTTTTGCATATTTGCTCCAATAGTTTCTAAAGCCTTGGCCGGGCTGAATGATGATGGATCTAGAATTTTAGAAATATATTTTCATTATTAAATCTGTATGACAAATGGCTCAAACAAAAAAATAAATAAGTGTCATACCTATCCAGCACTCCAAGCGAGCACAGGGTTGAGTTTTCACAATATCTGGAGGATCCACACCAACATTGAGACATAGAACCAGAGCAACACTCACTGTTTTCATCTGTAATAAAATTGTGGGGTGTAAGCAATTTTAAGTTGTTTCATTCTATATTTAAATATTCAAAAATGATTGAGAAGAATTTAAGAACTGTATTAAAAATTCAAAGAATTAGCTGTATGAAAAAGCTACAGAATAAAAATGGTCTGACAGAGAAAAAATTTCGAGACAAGATTCCAAGAAAGTTAATAATCCAATTCTTAGATATTTGTAAAACACGACAGTATATGAACCATAACCTACTGCGTAGATACGCTATCGAAACGAGGTTATGTTTACACGCTTTGATCCCAAATATTTCAAAAGGTACAGTGACAATGACAAGTAAACAACATTTTATATAATTCGTAATAAATGTTACAAAGTCAACGCCAAGGGAATGTGTGGAGAGCATTTTATGCCAGAGTTCTAAGTAAACAAACATTTATGCATCAATTGGAATCGGAACTTTTCCCTCTTTAAACAATATTTTTCGAGGGTTCTGTGAAATAAAAAGATAGAGAAAAAACACCTCACACACTCAAGTGCCATAAAAGAAAACAAAATTTCAACAACTAAGCAGAAGTAATGTTAAGAACGGAGATAGAAAATGCACAACGAGGCTTTGTTTGGTTAGGCTGCTAGCCATCACATTCTTCGGACATTACCCTTTCTTTCATTCTCCATGTCTGTGTGATAGCTGTAGCACCTTCGATAACTTCTGAGTGACGACTTTTCGAAAATGCCAAAGGAAGTTGCCAATCTGCTGCGGCACATTCTGTATCTTCTTCCATGTTTATTATTGTGATCGTAACAGCTGATGTTCATCCTCCACACTACTTAATTCGAGCAGCGCCTTTGATTTCGTACATCGATAAGAAATTTGATAGGTGCGTTATGTTGCCAACGCGACAAAATTTACATTCATCGCTTTCAGTTTATTACAAAGCTATTAAATTTTGACCAAGCCTTTTTTAATTAAATTTTATTTTTCATCATATTTTTAGTGAGTCATAAGACTCAAACAGTTTCTGAACCCCATAGATCATTCTGACATGAAGGCTTTTCAAGGTTAGTACCAAAAATGCACCACCCTTCCAACACAAGCAGAAACAATAACCTACAACTGTCAAAGTATCCCCAAAAAAAGCAAATTGTGTTTTGAAACAACTTTTCTTCATTCGGCCCCTATCAATTATTCTAATTAGTCCTCGAAAGTTGAACTTCACGTTTTCTAATGATTTTATGCCTTACTTAGCTCGGGTAAAACATGGCAAACAACAGCTATTACTTTGTTATTGTAGGGCACAATGATAATCCTATATTTGAAATGGACTTTCCACCTATTCCCAAAGAGCAGAAGGTATTTGTTTTATTTTCCTCTTGAAATTTCGTCTATTGTTATCTATTTCATAGACAATGTTAAAATCTTATGAATTATTTTATTTGCAGAAAGAAGATCATCGTCACCTCAATGAATTTGTAGCACACGCTGCTCTTGATTTGGTCGATGAGCACATGTGGAAAACTAGTGGAATGTACCTTAAATCTGTTGACAAATTTAATCAATGGATTGTATCTGCCTTTGTTACTGCAAGCCGCATGAGATTTATCATGGTTCATGATGCTAAAAACGAGGATGGTATCAAGAACTTTTTTATGGAGATGTATGAAAGTTATATCAAGGTACGCGTGATCTTCTTTGACATTTTGAGAGAACAGAGTAAAGCTTTCGACCTAATTTCTACCACTTGCAGTGCTTTAAATAATCTGTGCTTACATTTTTTTTCAGTATTCTATGAACCCTTTTTATACAATAAACACACCTATACAATGTCCGGCATTTGAGAAGAAGGCATTGTTTTACAGTCGTAAATATCTTACCGGTTGAACAATTGTCTTTTTATTATTATTATTATTATCTGTTCTTGTTGTATAAATGAAAGTCACATTCCATTCTAATTTGAGTACTGAGACATGGAAAAAGTGTGCAGTTGTATCTTAGGCCATTTTATTTTAAAATAACTGTGGCATGTGGCCTACCTGCTTAAAATCATCTTACTAAATATTTGTAAGTCATTTACAACATTGTCAGATTTTACATACATGTTGATTTATTTTTTTTGTAATGCACATTGTTACACCATAGATCATGCATATTTTTTATTTTCCTCATGTTTCTTTTAAAATGACCCCAGCATGAAACAAAAAGAACAAAAAACGGGATGAATTATAATGCTCTGCCTTATCCAACGCCGAAACGGTGGGGCTCCATATTATGGCCTAAATTAACCTTGGAAATGTCGGCCTTCCTCAAGTGCACACTCGCGACCGCACATAGTATAGTCCCCTACTTTTTTTCATTCAATGAAGGTATACGCTAAAGTAGGGGGTGGGGGGGTGATATTATTAAGAAAAAGTGTTGGGACGGCGCCGAGCCGTTCGGCAAGTGTGGGATGATAATTCGCACGCATGCTGAACTCACGCTACCGCCAAACTGGAAAGGATGCCGGAACTCGTGAGTGAATAAGGTGGAGGGGGAAGGCCCTCCCGAGCGGCAGCGCCAAGCAGAATCAATGACCATAACATACACAGGCACTCAAGCTTTTGCCTACCCGTCACGTTAAAAGTCAGTGCTTATAGTTTTCAAGCTGTGTCTTCCACTGTATTTGCTCCGGGATGACAAATGCGCCTTGAGATGGACAACCCGCGCGAGTGACCCGAGCAGGGAGACGAGGCTGGCCTCTCTTCTTTGTGTTTTCTGCACACGATCCTCTGAGCGGGAGCGGGGCGTCCGACGCTCTCCGCCCATCTACAAGCCGCGCAGGTCCCCGCCCGCATCGCAATGTAGTCGGTCCTCTTTCCTTATGTCGCCCCTCGGGCACCCGCCCCGCCACCGGTCGGCAGGCTAGGCTAGGCTAGGCTTGTGGCTTCTGAGGCAGCGCATGACCCCGTCCGTGTAGGCAATCCGCTCGCACGCCTGCATGTAGTGCGGTATCACTACGCGCGCACTGCACTCGTGCTTAGACGATGAGGGTTTCAGTTCCACCAATACAGATGCAGGTAGTGTACACATACCGCGAGATTTCACAGCATTGTACCGAGTGTTGCGGCTATGCATATCCCAGGTGGCCTCACGGTTAGTCAAGTCAAGGGGGCTATGGCGCCTTACGGGCGGATCGGGTAGGCAAACCAGCAACATTGTGGTGTGTTGCCTTTACAGACGGTATGCACATCTCTTCCTTATGCTTTCAGATGGTTTTACGTTTTACATTTGTGATGGTCTATGCATATCAGTCATGAACGAATTGAGCCCTCAATCATGGGAACGAGGGGTTAACAAAGACCCCGCACACGTGTTTCACTCCCGGCTGAGTCACTCTTGATGTATCGCCAAAAGTCTGCTCTGGCCACGCGTATACTTGACAGGGCGACCTTGAAGTTTTCCAGGCCTTGAAATCGACAGGACGAAAGTGATAAAAGATTATAGGGATAAACCGCAGACTCGACTTCACAAAGGTGTTTTAATTTTATTCGAATACTAATAATCTTTGCGCTTTGAAAGGATACTTTGGGTTGGCCGCCTTATTCGGCGGTCAGGAGTATGTAGAAAAAAAATCAGAACAAAAACCCGGAAAAACCGTTGAGCATTAGCGAGAAGACGTTCCGCAGGCCCATGTGTGCGGTGTTCGGAGAAGCCGAAAAGGAGGCGAAAATTATCTCTTGTCATGCAGCCTGGTTCTTGTTTGAACCGCTTTCGACCGCTTTTAGGTTTGGCGGCGCACTTCTCACGGGTATAATATTTAGGGTCGGCGGGTGATTAGAACACCGTAGTGGCGCGTGGCGCTTTTGGTGTGAGGGGACCGGAGAGTCGGAGGGGACCCGCCAATCCACTCCAAAACGTATCGCTGGTGAGGGGGGGATAAAGAGAAAAGAAACTCATGATGGAAACCACGCTGAACCAGTTTGCAAAACTCATATTCGCTATTTAAACGAGAAAAAATAATAATTTAAAAAAAAATACTAATCGGCGTATTTGATTTTCTCAAGGTGATAGGCAAGAAACAGAAGGAAGACGCTCGATCTGATCGACCGGGTGGTCATCAGAATGTCTGAATCATACAACATTTAATGTCATATGCCTCGTGCCAGGCGTGTCGCTGCTGTGGTTCACTCTGCCTAGATAGCAGGTGACTGACTGAACGACAACAACACTGGAAAAACGAAGGTAGGAATCAACACCCCTCTTGGGCCTGTGAATGATTTCCGTGATTAAACAGAGGCACTAAAAGATTCGCACCCCTGGAGAGGCACTGAACTGCCCCATAGATGCTAAATTTTAGTGCCTCTGAACACTTTTGTGTTTTTCTAAAGGCATTCAAATTTAGCTCATTTAAAAGGTGCTAAGAAACAAACAATTGGCTAATTTGGTAGTGTACAGTATACCAACTGATACACAGCGACACTGTAAAAAACATCTATGTAGATTTACGACAAATTTTGTAAATTATACTTTACGAAGTACGTTGTACATTTACGACATTTTTATTCGTGAAGAAATACCAAGTCGATACGTGGTGCTTGCAATTTTACGATTTGCAATTGTATATTTTTTTTACAAATTCGCTAGATTTTTTTCTTAAACCTACGACTATTTTTTACGGTGGACATTTGCAGACAGTGCTGCCAAGTTTTCCGACCCCAACGGCACAAGGCGATAGAGGAGAGAGAGAGAGAGAGAGAGAGAGAGAGAGAGAGAGATCGTGTGCCCATCAAGATGCGCGATTCACATCAAGTGGCGTTTCTGCCTCGTGTAAACTGGTAAACTGGAGACGAAAAGAGGAAATCGCTGCTAGTTTCTCTATCTCGAAATTGTGTCGCGTCGTTTGACTGCGGTAATTGTCACAGCAAAGCGAAACGGTCGTCATCAACACGGAGAGTCGCTGGACAGACAGGACGCGCGGGATCGGAAGGAGTGCGAGGGCGGGGGATCCAGGGGGATCCGACGTCAGCGCGTGGCCAAGGAGCCTATGGCGGCGATCGGCAGCCGATGCACTTCGTCCGCACGCAACGGCAATGACGAGGAATGCCAACCCTCCTCCCGCAGAAGGTTCAACGAGAGGGGAGAGGTGCGCGGCGCAGCGAGCGGGGTCGTTCCTGCTTGCGAATACTTGAACAGGTGCGCTGATGCAGTGTTCAACTCGGTTCAACTGCTTGGTTATGCCCTTTAGAGTGTTCTATAGTTGACAGTTCTTCACTTAAAAGTGTTCAACTCGGTGGCTCTTGTTGTGGCTCCCTTCGCTTGGGAGAACTCGGTGTACCTACCTGCTAAACCTTTCTGACGTCAGACACCCGGCACCTATCTTACAAGAGTAAGCCTGCGATGAATCTTGCGATCCACGTCCAGCTTCGAGAGTTCTGGCGAGGGGTGTGAGGGGAGGGGAGGGGGGGTAAGGACAATGTTTGGGCACAGCGAGGAAGTGGACGGCTATACTGTCACGAGGAGTATAGGGACAGGTGCCGTTGCCATTTACGAGACTACTACAAGACTCCACCCCAAGGGGTGGATAACTCCTCTGCCATAAGTGTACACCCCTAACTCTGCCCAATTCAAACTAATTCAGACTAATTCAATTCAAACGAATTCAAAAATAATTCAACTAATTCATTCCAACTCAAAACAAATTACATTCAATTGAAGTCAATTCAAGCCAAATTCAAGTCGATTCACACTAATTCAGTAAAATAAAATCGTCATAATTCAAACCAGTTCAAAAGCAATTCAACCAATTCGGTCCAATTCAAATTCAATTCAAGCCAATTCAAGCTAATTCAAATTCATTTCTTGAAATCTGTACTCTCAATTCAGGAGAGTTATCCACCCCTCGCTCCACCCCAGCCCCCGCTCGGTCCCCGCGGCGCGGGATGGGCGTGCGACGACTCGTTAGTCAAAAAGTGGACGACTATCTCTGGGCTTCTCTATATTGGGAATATCCGTCGATTTTGTGATGGAGGGATACGGGTCTTTGCTTCAGCGTAGAGAGAGAGGTGCGCGTGTTTGCACCAGGTCGCTATGGGTGTCGCCGGCGGGGATTAAGGGGAGAGGCGAGGGGGGCGATCGCCCACCCTGTCGTCTCTAGACAGCCGCCTGAAATGAAGGCAATTTGAGGCACAAACCCCCTGTATGTAGGCAACCGACAGTGCATCGCCTCGCCTCCCCTGTCAGCTGGACCTTAATCCGCGCCTGGGGTTTCGTCGGAGCAGCCGTTTGCCTACGATATTATTTTTGGCCGTCGTTGTGTGCGTAGTTCAGGCACGTGTAGTTGTTTCTGGCCGTTCTTCTTGCACGCGCGCTCGCCGTTTGTGCTTGACCCTCGGCTCCTCTCATCTTCGCAAGCGTCCGAATCTCGGCCCGAATCACACCCGCGCAGTCCAACAGGTCGTATGGTATTACGGTGAAATTACCACCCGCCACCGGCTGGATCAAAACAAAAGCTGCGGCGTGCGCAGGGATCATTATACTCGATCATTTGCCGCCCAGTCGCCGCCCTAAACCGTCACCGTGCGCGCGATAGAGAAGATTGTTACTCTGTCAAACTCGAACATTCATTGTCATCTTCATTAAAGTTGGACAGAACGAATGCACCGCACAAACAGACTACTGACGACGCGACTACGTTTCTTTTGAAAAAAAATTTGAGTAAATGGAAATGTATGGTTTCTTTAAAGTGTAGACGAAACTAGGTATGCTTATTGATTCGGCATGCGTGGTTATGCTATGATTTCGCACACTACTTTGTGAAAATATTTGTACTAGTTTCCACATTTGAGACAAGACACACCTCCTGTAGTGCGCGTACAGTGTACTGAGTGCATTGCTGCAGCATGCTTTACAATTTATTCCCATTAAAAACGAGTTTCAGCTATCAGCTGAACTGTGTCCTCATTGTACGTCCTGCTGTGTCGTCAAGACTTTTAATGCGTGATTAACATAAGCATCTGAATTATCCGTGTTTTCCTTTTTCCGATTAACTTTATTTCGGTAGTGGTTTAGCACGACTCGACGGAATTTGCACATGACCGCTACGGCTACGGACTGTTCGTACGCTATACCTTCTTATAAGCTGCCAGATGAGTCAGACAGGAGA